CGGAATGGTTTTCACCAGTGTTGTAAAGTTTCGTACAGTAAAAGGTTTTTTCCACTTGCACTTCAATTTCACAGCACGAGTGGCACAGAATCCCTACACACAGAAGAAAGCCTTCGCACAGGACATCCAACTCCTGGAGACGATGCTGCAGACACCTCAAAATGACCACACTGTGGTTACCTCTAGGGCTTCCTGCAACTGCAAGGTGGTGATTATGGGTGGCTATGGTAGACAGCTACCAAGCAGCCACCACCTTCTCCGACATGTGCTCTCCTTTTGCGTTTTTTCTGCAGATTTCTTCATCAACTCTGCTGCTGTGACTGCTTCTTAGCAAAACTGGAATTTTAAAAAAAGTGGCCATCATTGAACGTAGTACTCTGACAACCAAGACGTTTGAAACCTTCACTCTTCTGGGGCAACATTTAGAAGCAGTGTGCGACATTTAGAAGTCTGATTTACAAGCAGGGTGGTCACACATTTTCCTGGCTTGAAGACTTCCACCACTTTCCTGATCAGGCCCTCACAGGAGGCCGGAGTTAAGTTTGCTGCAAAGCCAACATAAGAAATTCCTGGGTCTGGAGTGAGGTGAATAGTCCACCAAGTTCCATCCAATTGCATTCCGCTCATTGACTACCCCCAAGGAGTGAACAGGGTAGCATCAACGACAGAACCGGGGATCTGGTCACCAACTCCACGCTCACGAGTGACATGCTTGGCAGGAACACCCTCTTTCATGGAGAACGGGTCAGTGGCTGCAGGGTCAAACTCCCGCATGGGAAAGTCCAGGGTTTCATCTGGCTGGCTGAGTACCTGCCTCTGGGAAACCCCGAGTATGTGAGTACCAACAGTCAACATTCATTCGTCCCATACCAAGACGCTGCTCCATTTGGGGAAGCTGCAATAAGAAACTAGTTCTTCCTGGAAATTCTGGGGTGGGTACCCTTGGTGAGAAGGCTTCATGAAATTCTTAGGAGAATAAAAGCCGCTTTGAAGTGAGTCAGCCCCACATCTTCGTTGGGTCCCAGCAAGCTGCAACAGCGGAACCAGTGCTTCAGTAAGCACAAGTGTGTGTGTGGGGGGGAAGGGCACAAGTCTTCAAAATGAAACACAGGGCTCTTAGAGACAGACATGCGACTCTCCCTGGGGACACAGGCTTCCTGCTTGTCAGCTTTGGTCACCCTTAGGGTTAAAGAGTACACCGCCTTCTAAAGTCTATCCCACTCGGATCTTGGAGTGGTGCAGAGATCCCCAGATCCTTGGGAGAGCCAACCTGGATCCAGCAGCTTCTTGGTCTTTCAAAAGGATGTGCAGCTTCCATCACCGCGAGACCAGCCAACAACCACAGAAAATCAACTACATTAAATCTCGCTCCCAACGCCACCGCGGCAGGTGGGTCCATGTGTTTAAAGTTCAGGTTCCCTTTTTTTCTCTATATAATTTTATATTGATGGGGGTTTTTTTTCGGGGGTGGTGTTAATTTTTAAAATTCCTAGCCTTTTCTTTGTGAGCAAAAGTTGAATGCGAGTCTATTGGAAGGAGAGGCAGATCCGGTTTAGTCCCCATGACAGCAAATGTCGCCGGCCACCCTGAGTAAGCCAGATGTCTTATGCTTTACCATAAATTAATGTAATCGTTAACAAACCCCCAGTGGAGAGGACTGGCATTCCAAAAATGTGTTCACTAAAAAGAAAATCAACTTAAAATTATTAACATGCTAACATGCGTGGCACCGTTTATTGTAAATTCCCTGCATCACGCCACTCTCATAAGATGGGTTTATTTTTCATTTTTGCCAAATTCTTCCATGGCTGCATGGGATGACCCACGTATAATTGCAAAATAAACGTTGCTTAGTGAATTCATGTATGCAAGGCCACACAACTCCGCATTAGAACCACACTCATTCAGCAACAGCAGTTGGACAGCCGGAGCTGCGTGACCGTTTTCAATCCTGCACAGCTGTCCTCAGCTTAGGGGGCTCACAGTGTAACGACTGTCCTTGGCCCTTCTGGGCACACTTGACAATGGCCGTCCTTGTTAGGGCCGAGGAGGTGTTACGGGCATGTAGTGGGTGAAGGTCAGGGAGCCTGCTGTGTATTCTACAGGGTTCTGCTCAGCTCCACACAACAAAGAATCATGCTATCCAAAAGGTCAATAGTGCCAAGGTTCAGAAACGCGGACCCTGGTCTAGATAATTAATAAACCAATATGCCAAGGCCAATGTGAAGCAAACATTATGCCTCTGAAAACAGAGATAGGAAGAGATAGGCAAAAGATACTCTACAGAAATAAGGAACCCGGGTGGCTGAGTGGATTAAGCATTGGGTAGCTAATCCCCGTGTCAGGGGTTCAAACCCACCGGCACCTCCAAGGGAAAAAGACAAGGGTGGCTGCTCCTGTGAAGAGTTACAGTCTCGAACACCCAAAGCAGCAGTCCTGCTCTGTCCTATAGGGTGGCTGTGAGTCAAAAGCACTCTGAACGAGGAAGGCACAGAGAAGTCATAGATGTAAAAAACTTCGAACCCTAGACCCAGTCCTGGTGTCCCCACTTCACGGCATGATTCTGTTCCACTGACTTAACTGTAAGTCAGTTCAAATGAAAGTGGGACACCTCACTTTGTAAATTGTGCATTATCGTTGCCTTTATTATCAGTATCATTATAAATCGAATCTTTTGCATCTTTAAGGGTTGGCATGAGAAAGATAACATCAGCAAACGATGTATTGCAACAGTATATGTAGTGCATATTACTAAGAATACTATGTTCAAATAAAACTCGCAGACAACGGTCGTAAGTGTAGCTGGTTAGCTCAAATATGTCCTAAATAGGAAACTGTCTGGACGAAGGAATCCTTGGTACTCCTTCTCCTGATGTGAACCGTGAACTGGAAATCAGAGAAACCCCGTCCTCCTGCCGAAGGATCACCTCACCAGGAAAACAACCCAGACCAGGAGAAGAACTGGCTGAGGGATGGAGAAATTACAAGATAAATGATAACTTCAGGATCAACTGGAGCACCGAGGGCTGTAAATTGTTCCATTAACTTTCATCTGCTCAGTCATTTTTACAGAAAGTATAACTTACCACCACCCTAAAAAATTGGAATAAATTCAAGATGAGATATGAGCAGACATGATCTTGGAAGAGGTAGACTGTATTTGACGATGTCAGTTCTCAACCCGCATCATCTCCATTCTCCCTACTATTTTCACGTGCACCTGTTTCTTATGTGTCTCCACTTCCTACAGCAAGTACCTACCTGTATGGACCTCTTTAGTGGAGAGCATTAAAATGGTGTGAGGGACAGTCTGACCTCCTATATACTTCCTTTTCTCAACAGTGTTTTAGATTCTATACCATTGGCTAAGTTAACGATAGTATCAATAGAATTCATAGCAACCCTATGGGAGAGGGTAGAGCTGCCCCTGTAAGTTTCTGAGACTGTAACGCTTTAGATGTTACAGATGAGTAGAAACCCTCATCTTTATCCTGAAAAGCAGCTAGTGATTTCTTTCAAACTGGTGACTTTGTGGTCACAGCCCAACTTGAAACCATTATGGGATGGAATCAACTCAGTGGCATTTAAGTACCATACACACCAAAGGGGTGATTTTAATGTTCCCCAATAAAAGGAGAATGGCATCTCTAACGTGGACTAGGGGCATATATAAACCAGAGATATATGGATGGATTTTGAGCTCACCCTTAATTGTAGTCCTAATCTAATAATAGCTAGTCAGGTCTAATAACCTGGTCCTATTCCATATTCACCCTCATGAAAAGGTCACTGAAGATGTGGGTGCTAGGGCAAAGATTGGTGACAAAATCCGATGGTGCCCAGCTATCAGAAAGAATGTCATCTAGGGTCTTAAAGGTTTGTTTTATCACATGCAGTCATCTAAGCGAGGTCTCAGACTACATGAAAGCACACCAGTGTGTGATCCAAGGATTGTAAATAATAGAAGCTAAAACCCTGGGTGGGGGGGGGCGGGATCTGGGGAGAGATGGTATTAGAGCTTAAATCCTGAGCACCCAGATTGCAAATGGCTGTGGATGATAGTGAAAGCCCAAAATCCATGTGCAGGGTCCCCACAAGGATGAAGCCTCCAGTGACTCCCCTCTGACCATTGACGAGGGATGTGAACAGCCTTGCCTCAGAGAGAGGGCATTGGACAGTGGATTACTGCGGATGTTGTTCTATCAAAATGTAACCCCTTAGTACTTGATCTCCCTTTTGACCTATTTTAAATTTGTTCTAGCTTTTAATATGTTCTCCTTTCTTTACTATGGAGGTTTTTCTTGGTTCGGTTTTGTTATTGTTGTTGAAGGATTTTTTTCTTTTGCTTTTGCATTTTTCTTTTCTGTATATGAAATCCAGGATAGGTACATCTATAAAGGCAGCAACTGGATTAATAGTTTCTTAGGGATATGGCATAGGAAGCTGGGGGGAAAATGGGGAGCTAATAATGAGTACAAGAAAGATGACGTTCTAAATTTGATCGTGATGATTGCTCAACTTTAAAAACATGATTGAACTACTAAATTGTACGATATGTGAATTCTATGCCAATAAAACTATTAGAAAACAAAAACTTCATATACTGGTACCACTCTAAAATCCCACCACAGAAAACACTCTTCTCCAACTTGTCTAAAGCGCCCGGACGCCTTTAAGCACTTCCGCCCCGCCTCGCCCCACCCCTCGCCGGCTCCACGCTGTCAACTGGCCGGAGGAGGGCGCTCTTGCAGCCAATCAACACTCAACAGACCTTCCTCCCGCGCGTCTTTCAAAGGCCTACTACGAACCAATGAGCAGTTAGGACACCGAGCCAGGGAAGCCGGAGGCGGAGTAAGACAGAAAAGCGGGCTCTGATTGGGTCTTGGAGATGCCACGCCCCGCCTCCCAGAAGGACGTACCAATGAGCCGAGGGAAGGTGAGGTTGGGTTTGAAGCAGTGACTGAGACGCCCGCGCGGCTAAAAGGAGGTGGCGGCAGGTCACGCGAGGGGCGACCGCGATGAAGCCGGTGAGTCGGTGAAGCCCGGGGCCGGGTCTTTGAGGCGCCAGGCTCAGGCGAGGGACTTGGAGGCCAGTTCTTGGGCTGCTTGGCATCGCAGGCCGGGTCCTAGCACCGCTCGGACCGTAACCGTCCTGGGAGGGGGGAGGTGTCTCATCCCAGGACCAGCAGGGAGCGATGGTTTCCGAGGGAACGCAGCCCCTTGGAAAGGATCGGCGGCGAAGGCAGGCAAGATGGGCAATTTTGGCGCGCCTGTTGTGAGCGGTCGCCTCCTGGGGTCCCCTAAGCCTCAAGACAGCCTTTTCTGGGGGAACTGAGCTCCCATTTTAAGGCAGAAACCGAGGGGCGTAGAGAGTGTCAGTAGCCCAAAGCGTCCGGGTCTGCTCTGCCCCCACTGGGGAGCAGTCATCACCAGGGTAGGGAAACGTTTTCCAATACTCTGCCATACCTGTCACCGACCGTCGGGCCCACGTGGTACCGTGCCCCTTTCCCCCGTGGGCTTCTGAATCATGAATAGCAGTTTCTGCAGAGCAGAACTTTCCACCTGCCTGGGAAAGCCTAGGGGAATGATCCTGAATCATGGAAATTACTTAAAAGACACAAACAGACTCCTGACCCCCACTACCTACCTCCAGGATGGTCAAGCTATTGAAGGGTCAGATTTGGGTTTGTGGGTTCTCAACCTTCCTAAAGCCGCGACCCTTTCATACAGTTCCTCATGTAGTGACCCCCAACCATAAAATTATTTTTGTTGCTACTTCATAACTAATTTTGCTACTGTTATGAATGGTAATGTAAGTCTCTGATAGGCAGGATGTCTTTTCATTGTTACAAATGGAACATAATTAAAGCACAGTGATTAATCACAAAAACAATATGTAATTATATAATGTGAAATATTTATTTCTAATGACAAATAAATGAAATTTTGTCTGGAAGCATGGTGTAGCATGAGTGAGTCTTCACGCTCAGTTCTCGTATGTGGGCGTATCTGCATGTGGGCTGACCCACCCGGAGAAGGACAGACCATCGGAAATATATTTTCCAATGGTCTTAAGTGACCCCTGTGAAAGGGTTGTTCGACCCCCACCCCCCAACGGGGGCACGACCCACAGGTTGAGAACTGCTGATCTAAAGCAATGACACCCCCCCCCAGCCTAAATTGGTTCTGTAATGTGATCTAGTAACAAACCCGCTACAGAATATAAGCTTCAGAGCTAGAAAGGACATTAGGTGATTCCAAGTGCTAATCCCATGTTGCCAGGTGGACAGATGTCAGCTGTTCTTCATTAGTGGCCTCCCTCCACCTCCCCTTAATGCACTTAAGAGGGAAAGGGTGAATAAACGATCCTACCGAGTTTGTGAACACATGTGGCTCCTACAAATCCACAGAGGCTCACTCCCTGCCACTCAGGACTGGTCACCTCTGCTTTTGATTGGGTGGATACACCTCCTACTGGGTTTAGGAATTGGCAACCCGATTGGCCATAGTTTTAAAGCGACATCCTCCATTGGCACTCTTCAATACATTTGGGTCTCCAGTGGCAGCTCCATTATCTCACCATAGGTTCCAACAAGGAAGTGGGGGAAAGGTGTGTTATTTATTGAACCTTCAAAACTCCACCAGGGCGTATAGAACTCTTCTAGTTTTGCTGCCTTCCAAGATTGAATTCTAACTGTAGTCCAGTCATTCCCTTGAACTCCCCTGGCCAAGCTGTGAGGTGTGAGTATGGTGTGTCATGGGAAACAGGGTGGGCAGAGCTGCTGTAGCCTCATCTCACTCGCTCTCCACCCTGCTATCACAGCTCCTGAATACACAGGCCCTCTCATTTTCAGTCTCCAACTAGAACATTTCTTTTGGAAATCTTTCTTTGTACAGTCTGTTTTTCCCTTCTCTGCTCCATAGCACATAGTTTATAATAAGTATTATAACACATACTTTCTTCTGTAACCTGTGTACACATCTGACTCTGGCTATACTGAAGGTGGGCTGTTTATCCTATGAATTGTTGCATCTCCCAAGCTTAGCCTATGGAAGGGGTCCAAGAAATGTAGGAGGGCAAATGTACAAACCTCTTCATTTGATCCTTGAAGAAAAGCTAAGATCTAGAATAAACTGATCCAGAATTAACTTGTCTAAGATTGGGCAGTAAGTGGCAGCACCGGGACCAGCTGCTAGGCTTCTTGGCTCCTAGATTTTAACTCTCTTCCACAATACAGCTATAATTAATACTAAGGTGGTAAGCATAATTTATTATTGATATTATTCGATCTGTGGTATTCCACATTGAAAACTAAATAAATCGCAAGTACGTTTCGCGTGAGTCTCAGTAAGGCCCAGCTATATAGAGACTATAGCAGAGTGACAGTGCAAAGGAGGAGGGCCGTCAACGGAATGGACTGACCCAGTGGCTGCAGCAATGGGGCTGGGCATGGGAGCCGTGCTGAGGATGGCCCGGGACTGGACCGTGTTTGGTTCTCTGGTGGCTAGGGGTTGGAACACCCTTGATGGCACCAACAGCAATCAACAACATACTAAGATTATATGTAAGTGTTCTTTCCAGTTACTTAACATAAGTAATTTCCTTTAAAGCCTAGTTCATTGCTAACAAGTGAGTTTGACTCATCTGATGAAGAACCTATTGAAGATGAACAGACTCCAATTCAGATATCATGGTGAGTAAAGATTCCTGATCTTTATAGAATATAGTCCATGTATTGAAAATATTTATTATGCTCCTGCTAATTACATAATTTTAATCTTTAAAGAGCCTGCTAGCTCCATGGTTCATTTGCTACCTGTGATAAGGAATAGATTTTGTGGGGGTTTTTTTAGATTCTTTATATATTGGGAAATCCATAGTTTAACTAAGTCAGTAAATAGTAGAATGGTCTCCCATTTAGTACCCAAATCAACTTAATCTTGAACCACAAATAAACAGTGTAACAAGCATATGGATGAGATTATTTTTCAAGTAAGTCATGGTCAACAGTGGTAGTTTCAAACTGCTGACCTTGTGGTTAGCAGCCCAGCTGTAACCACTGCATCTCCAGGGCTCCTTACTACACACAGAACCACAAGAAGACACAACAAAGTAAAAGTCTCTACATATAATCTCTGCCAAGTTTGGGCACTTAAGTTATAGTTACACCAGGTTCTCTACAACCAGCCACAACTGTTTTCTCTCAACCCTATAAATACAAGGGGGTTTCAAAAAGTTTGTGGAAAAATAGAATGAAAAGATGATGGGATTTGTTCACAGAGTTTCTGAAGCCCCCTGGTATAACAACCTCCCTCCTTAAGAAAGCACACGCTTTCTAGTATAGAGAGAAAAAACAGGCACTAAGCACTATGAGTACTGAGCATAATTCTTTTATTCTGCCATCAAATAGCACTTACTTTTCATTTCCCCTTGGGACTCCCTTTCAAATATCTAAAACATTTCCCCAGAACTCATCTAATTTCCAAGCCATTTACCTAAACCAAATCACTGAAAAGAAATTGTAAGAGGAAATCAAATTATTTATATACTGCTTTTTATTTTTTGCTCTTCACACAAGGAATATGATTTTTTTTTCTTTTGAAAAGCACACTTTAATAACCCAAATTAAAACGCAAAAGAACCGATTTAGCAGTCCATAAAATACAGATGATGATAGGTGAGAAAATAATTAAGAACAAAGCATACAGGAACCAAACCGAAAACCAATCCCGCCGCTATCCGGAATATGATTTCTTGATTGTATTTCACTTAAACCCAAAGCTAGTACAAACCAAAAAAACGGGTGACCTGTGATTTTCATCTTTTGAAATTAAATTCCTGTTGAAGGAAGCCTTACAGAGAAATCTCAATACGAAAATAATAAACCCCAAACCAAATCATCTGCCATCAAGCCAATTCGGGGTCACTGTGACCTCCAAGGTTTCCAAAACGAAATCTTTATGGGAGCAGAAAGGCTCACTTGCCTCCTGCTAATTAGTTGTTGGTTTCCAACTGACAACCTTTTGGTTAGTCCAATTCTTAACCACAGCCCACCAGAGCTCCTTAGAGAAGGAATGTTGGGGCAAAATGGTCACATTGCCATTTTCCCAGCTTATTTACATTAAGTTACTAATACAATCATTCTTCATTAACATACAAGGGGCTTCAAAGAGTTCATAGACAATGCCCATTATCTCTTCATTCCACTTTCCCATGAACTTTGGGAAGCATCCTTGTACCATAGGATGATGTAAGCACACCTTATGTTAGCTGTTGGTGCCCTGGTGCCGGAGTGGTTATGTACTGGCTGCTAACAGCAAAGTCAGCAGTTTGAAACCACCAGCGGATCCACAGGAGAAGGATGGGGCTTCTGCTCCTATAGAAAGTTACAGTCTTGGAAACTCACGGGCATTTCTACCCTGGTCTATAGGGTTGTTAGCAGTCGACATTGACTCGATGGCAATGAATATTTGAGTTTTAATACTAGCTGTCGGTGAACTAGATATGATCTTTAAGGTAAATTTAAATTAACTTGTGTTTAAGACTTAAACTGTAGCAAAGCAAATGTTATATCTATGTTTCAAACTGTTAGTTGCTTTAGGCCTCCTTATGACTGGCATGGGAGTCATGGGTGACATAAATGGTTAAGTACTTCACTAATTGTTGATAGGTTGGTAGTTTGAACCCACTCAGAGGCACTTTGAAAAGCAAGCTGGGTAACCAGCTTCCCAGAGAGCTTCGCCTTGAAAACCCTATGGGTCAGTTCTGGTCTGCAAACCTAAGTCACCACGAGGGACAACTGAATGCCAACAACTTGACGAACCCATTGATCTGTACCGATGACGTGTTGCTCTGTGATTGCTCTAAAGGTGTTCTTTGGATGCTGGTTAGATTGATTTCCACGTATAACTTTCCTAAAACAGAACCCAACCCCATCACTGTTTCTCCCTTTCAGGCTACCCCTGTCACGAGTGAATTGTTCTCAGTTTCTCGGTGTATGTGCTCTTCCAGGTAGGTCGGGCCGCAGTTGGCCTTTTCCTGAGCTATTTACAGTTTTTGTTGTCAGCTAACACATCTTTCTCTGTAGCGAACAGCAAGAGAATTTCGCAAGCCATCTGCCCTGGGAGAACGGCGCACTTTGAGAAGCCTTCTTGGGCTGCAGGAGAAGGAGCCTAGCTCCACTCTTCGAACTCCCAGAACTGTAGGCGCAGCTCTGCTTCTCTGGCTTATGCGTACCCATAAAATCTCAGTAGTGGGCATAAGGGGAGGCTGAAGGCTAGAGCCAAGCCCTTTGGACAAAAAAGGCATAGAAAGAAAGAAGAATCCTTGGATCCACTGGAATCTCTAATCCCTGTCATTATATTTCTAACAAAGTGACATTCATTCTCAAAATGGGATTAATGCAGACAAGATCGTGTGGAGTGACCTTCCAAAGTAGCTGTGCATATGTATAAAGACTCTTGTTGTGTGGGAGCAAACACTGACTTTTCACTTGCCTGATTGCTGTTATAGGTTGTAAATTTAAAGATGTAAGAAGAAATATCCAAAAAGATACAGGTATGTGTCATTTGAGAACCAGAGAAATTTGCTGTCTTTTTAAAAAAAATCATTTTATTGGGTGCTCATACAACTCTTATCACAATCCATATATACATCAATTGTATAAACCATATTTGTACATTCGTTACCCTCATCATTCTCAAAACATTTGCTCTCCACGTAAGCCCCTGGCATCAGCTCATTTTCCCCCTCCATCCCCGCTCCCCCTTCCCTCATGAACTTGTGATAATTTATAAATTATTGTTTTTTGTCATATCTTACACTGTCCAACATCTCCCTTCATCCACTTTTCTGTTGTCCAGGGAGGAGGTTATATGTAGATCCTTGTAATCAGTTCCCCCACTCTACCCCGCTCTCCCTCCACCCTCCCAGTATCGCCACTCTCACCACTGGACCTGAAGGAATCATCCATCCTGGATTCCCTGTGTTTCCAGTTCCTATTTGTACCAGTGTACATCCTCTGGTCTAGCCAGATTTGTAAGGTAGAATTGGGATCATGATAGTGGAGGGGTGAGGGAGAAGAAGCATTTAAGAACTAGAGGAAAGTTGTATGTTTCATCGTTGCTACACTGCACCCTGACTGGCTTGTCTCCTCCCCATGACCCTTCCTTAAGGGGATGTCCAGTTGCCTACAGATGGGCTTTGGGTCCCCACTCCCCCTCATTCACAATATGAATTTTTGTTCTTTGATGCCTGATAACTGATCCCTTCGGTACTTCATGATCACACAGGCTGGTGTGCTTCTTCCCTGCGGGCTTTGTTGCTTCTGAGCTAGATGGCTGCTTGTTTACCTTCAAGTCTTTAAGACCCTAGACGCTATATCTTTTGATAGCCGGGCTCCATCAGCTTTCTTCACCACATTTACTTATGCACCTGCTTTGTGTCGGGAAGGTGAGCATCATGGAATGCCAGTTTAATAGAACAAAGTATTCTTGCATTGAGGGAGTACTTAAGTGGAGGCCTAATGTCCATCTGCTACCTTAATACTAACCCTATAAATATATGCACATAAATCTATTTCCCCATCCTCATATATAAATATATTTACATATGTACATGCCTTTATCTAGACCTCTATACCCTTTACCTCCTAGCTCTTTCCTCTATTTCCTTTTACTTTCTTCTTGTCCCACTATCGTGCTCAGCCTTCATTTGGGTTTCAGTAATTCTTCTCGATTACATTACCCTTGATCACGCCCTACCTGGCCTCCTCCTACACCCTCCTCACCACCGATTTGGATCACTTATTGTTCCCTTGTCCCTGGGTTTGTTACCACTACCTTTTCCCCCACCTCCTCCCCTCCCACGTCCCCCCGGAACTGTCAGTCCCATTGTTTTCTCCTACAGATTGTTCATCAGCCTATCTTGTTTAGACAGATCTGCAGCTGTGTTTTAATAACACTGAAAATCTCTTTGTCAAAAGAAACAAAACTGCATCTTCTCTAATTTTTAGACCAAATAAATGTTAAATATTGTACAAAGTTTCAAACTATAGTTTTAGTCTAATATGTGAAGAGGTGTTTATGAAGGGAACAAAAAACTTTTAATATACCTACATATGGTGTTACTTTTTTAATGACTTTTGTACGCGAGGGCTTCAAAAAATTCATGGAAAAATTCCAGTTTCTTGTCTTTCTATTTTTCCATGAAGTTTTTAAAGTCCCCTTGTATTGCTCTGACCAAATCTTTGAGCATACAAATTCCTTGCAGACTAAACCTGAGCTAGGAACCCAGAGATGAAAGTGAAATTGCCCATCCTGCCCATCCCTCCCAGCAAGGTGGGAAAGTGAAGGACCAACTTGTGCATGCCTGAGGATGTTTCTATCATTGTAGCCTCATCTAAGATCCTACAACTATACCGAGATCGACTCCAATTTAGGATTTACATGGATTTACATGGATTTTCAAGATGTTTTAATTCCAGTTAATCTAGAATGTCTAGAGTCCAAGAAGCCACAAATATTCACATCCTTATAATACACTTAAATAAAAATATGCATATTGCTTGGTTCTGCCTAACAAAGGCTTGTCTTAATCTTAATTTTTTATATATATCAGTCATTTTATTGGGGGCTCTAAGATCTATTATAACAATCCATTTATCAATTGTATCCAGCACATTTGTACTTAGGTTGCCATCATCCTTTTCAAAACAGTTTCTTTCTACTTGAGTCTTTGGTATCAACTCTTCTTTTTACCTTCCCTCTTCCACCCTCCTGAACCCTTGATAAATGATAAATTATTATTATTTTCAGATCTTACACCATAAGATATGAAACCTTCATTTCTGTTGTTCACCCCTGAGGGGGTGTGGCGGGTGTTATACATCAATCATTGCAATTGATTTTCCCTTTCTCCCCTTTGTCCCCCCACCTTCATGGCATTGCTATATCCATAATCTTAAAATCTTTTTCTGGTTCTTCTGAAATATTAATTTACTACCATACCTCTAAAATTGTATTGCTTACCTACAAAAAAAAAAATTAAGGTGGCTAATAGCTTAGTTGACCTTTGCAGTATTTGTAAAGATTTTCTGCTTAAACTTACCCATTGTCACCATGGCAGCAAATTCCCATTTAGACAACACTTAAGCCATACATAAAAGATCATTTTAACCATGGCTTTAAGTACCAATTTGTGCATTTTAGAAAACCCTAAACTGGGTGTGTTTTCTTCCAGCTTATTTATTTAATAGTTTTATCGGCACTCCATCCACATATCATACAATTCAATTGTTCAGTCACATCAAGGAGAGTTGTACAATCACTATCACAACCAATTTTAGAACATCTCTTCTTCTTTGTACGAAGCAGGGTTTTCTATTTTTTCCCCCAAAACTCGTTTTTGTAATTGTGTGTGCATACAAGTATATATGAGGATATGGCAGAAGTTCTGCTACTGGGTTTCTAGTTCATACAAGAACAGGTTTATTCCCAACAAGCTGTGTTTGAGTGTGTCTCAGCAAGCAAGCTCTCAGTGATGCGCATGTCTTCGTCTTGCTTAGGTGCCTCCAAAAAGCAAGTCCAAACACTGGCCCAAGGAGATCTCCGGGCCAGTTCAGTTCAGAGGTCCCAGTGCCTGGGTTGGGGGCACTCACAAGGCTAGTTTTGACAGATCCCGTTGAAGGGCACAGGATGATCAAGCAGGCTTCGTATGCAAATTTAAGAACATTGAAAACCACATTGGCGAGGGAAAGACCAGGAGAGGGAAAGACCAGGAGAGTCTCCAAGGGCAGCAAGGGTTCTCCTAGGGGAATATCACTGGGAAGCCTCCCTAGAGGATACGCAAGTGCCATTTGGATGTGGTGTAAATCGAAGAGGGGAGATTCTGCAGAGACGGGAAACCTACCTTCAGTAGTGTATAGACCTAGAGGAAGGATACACCCAGAAACAATAGCTTCCCATTTTGATATTTGTTTACTTAAGGCTTCTATAATTTTGTTTTTGACTTATCCTTGGATGTACAGTATATATACGTGTGTGTATCCGCATACACTCATCGTATACGCCCAGCCAGTGTTTAACGGGGAAAGTCTTAGTATTTCCCAGCCTCAAGACTCCTTTCTCGGAAAGGCAGTTTGAAAACTCCTGGATAGAAACTACCCCAGCAAACCATGTGGTAACTACACTAGGTATGGTAACTACCCGTTACAGCCCATGTCAAATGTAGAACTGAGCAGCATCTGGAGCAGCGCTGTCCGATGGAAATAGAGTGAGGGGCACAAGTGGAAGCTTCATGTGGAGCCTTAGGGTTCTAGTTTCCACGTTAAAAAGAATAAAAAGCAAATGAAAATCATTCTAGTAGTGCATGTTGTTGAACTTAATGTATCGGAAATATTGTCATTTCACCATGTTAGCAGTGTAATACCAATTAATGAGACAGTTTGCGCTTTCCTTGTCGGTAGTCTTTGAAGCAAGATGTGTACGTCGCACATGCAGAACACCTAAATTTGGACTAGCCACAGGTCAAATGTTCTGGAGCCAGGAGTGTCTAGTGGCTACCACACTGGGTGGTGGGCATCTAGAGGTTCACGAACAAGGCACTTTGTATTTAAATAGCTTAATCTCCTTGAAAGTGCGAAGTGGGGAAAGGGAGGGGACTCAGATCAGCCCTGGTGAGACTTGTTTCCTTTAGAACCCAGTGCTCCCCAGTGAAACCTGCTGGAGCTTACAGTTGCAGTGTATAGAAAGCCCTGTTGTACGAGTCCTCAGTCCCTATCATTGTAGTGACATTAGTCACACAGTCTGAAGACAGTTTGATGCTTTAGTGTCTCAAGACCTGCTCCATGAGAATGCAAATACGGTCTGTGGTGCGGTGTCATTGTAGGAGGGAAGGCAGGGGCCCTGACACCGCGGTGCTTACAGTGCAGTGAACGAGGGACTGTAGGGGGAGACAGAAAAAGAACTGTGCTGCCATTCCCTCTCCAGAGTGTACTCTGAAATACTAGATGCTTCTACAATGTACTATAAAGCATTGTTTATCACTAAACAAAGGGTAAGTCTATAAGTACTGCCACTGGGGTTCCAGTACATGCATGGGTTTATTCCCCCAAACTGGATTGAAGCATGTGTCTGTGATGGGTGGGTGGCTGCAGACAAGGTCTTTCAGTCCTAACACATGACTTGGCCTTGTTGGCATGCCATCCACAAGATCCAATCGAAACAGTGGCTTCTGAGGGCTGGGCTGGGCCACTTCACTCCAAGGCAGAGAGGTCAGCTCAGAAGACTGAATTCTAAGGGAGTAATCTCGGTAGATACGCCTCAGCCGGCTCAGGGAAATCTTGCTCTTGCCCCTTCAGATCACTCTTCCTCCCTAAACTCATTTCAGGGACCGTCATTAGAGTCCCGCAAGGAGCCACGCCCTCCTTTGGGATGCTGTATAAATGGAAGCATGCAGAATTCTCAGGGGAGGAGTCAGAGAGACAGAAGCCCCACCTGCAGAAGCGTATAGGCCGAGATAGTCGAGAGACGGGTCAAGAAGTAGTGCTTCTGTTTATCACAGATTTCTGTGATTCTTGTAGCAGCACTTGTTGACTTGCCCTCATAAAATTGACTCATCTAGAAATTTCAGTGTAAAGAATTTTGACTTAAAAAGTCTGGGCTGACCACCTTTTGGCACCAATGTTTCTAATTCCTATTTTGTGCTTAGTGTCTTGATTTGTGCCCCAGTTTGAAAACAGAAAGAGTATCAATACGCACCTCAAGTTGGTAGATTATCATTTGTTGCTTACTTAGGTTGTCTTAAGAAATTTCACTCCACAGTCTCCCCTTGACAAGAATTTCATTTGTAATGTTGTGTGTGTGTTTATGTTTGCCTGTGTCTTGGTCTATTGGCAGAAGAACTAAAGAGCTATGGTATACAAGACATATTTGTCTTCTGCACCAGAGGGGAGCTGTCAAAATACAGAGTCCCAAACCTTTTGGACCTCTACAGGCAGCGTGGGATGATCACGCACCATCATCCAATCCCGGATGGTGGGACTCCCGACATAGCCCGATGCTGTGACCTAATGGAGGAGCTTACAGGCTGCCTTAAAAACAACCGGAAAACCTTAATACAGTATGTGTCACCCCCACCCACCCACCTCTCTCTCCTCGCTCTCTCTCCTTTTTTCATACGCTCCATGAGAAATGTCCCAATCAAGATGAGACTCCCAAAGGATGGCTTCCCAATTCAGTTATTACTGCCCCTCATAGTTCCTTGCAAAGATGAAAATAATAGTGCATGGAAAGTTCTAGCACAAAGACTACTACAGAATAAGCCCTCAAGTACTTGCTATTATTTTTGAAGAGTAAGGACAATACATGAGATGTGAACATTTTTACAGCAAGAGTATTGACTCTTTTCCCCCCCTCCTTTTTGTCTCGTCCTTTCCGTTTGTTACAATTTTGGTCTCCCAGAAAAGGGTGAAGAGTGGGCATCGTTTTTGCTACACAATAACACCTCACTTACTCGTCTGCTTTTGAGTTGCTTAGTAGCTTCCGATAGCAGGAAAGCCCTTTTTTTCTTTTAAATCATTTTATTGGAGGCTCATAAAATTCTTTTTTTTTTTAACATTTTATTAGGGGCTCATACAACTGTTATCCCAATCCATACACACAGCAATTGTGTAAAGCGCATTTGTACATCGTTTCTCAAAACATTTTCTCTCCATTTAAACCCCCGACATTAGGTCCTCATTTTTCCCCTCCCTCCCCGCTCCCCTCTCCCTCATCAGCCCTTGATAGTTTATAAATGGGTATTTTGTCATATCTTGCCCTGTCCGACATCTCCCTTCATCCACTTTTCGGTTGTCTGTCCCCCAGGGAGGAGGTCACACACAGTTCCATGTAATCGGTTCCCTCTTTCCTACTCATTCTCCCTTTACCCTCCCTGTTTTGCCACTCACACCACTGGTCCTATAGGGCTCATCCATCCTGGATTCCCTGTATTTTCAGTTCCTATCTGTACCAGTGTACCTCCTCTGGTCTAGCCAGACTTGCAAGGTCGAATTCGAGTCATGGTAGTGGGAGCGGGGAGGAAACATTTAGGAACTAGAGGTAAGTTGTATTTCTCATCGTTGTTACATCGCACCCTGACTGGCTCATCTCCTCCCCGAGACCCCTCTGCAAGGGGATCTCCCGTGGCCTACTAATGGGCTTTGGATCTCCACTCCGCGCTCCCCCCATCATTCACTATGGTAAGATTTTTTGTTCTGATGATGCCTTACACCTGATCCCTTCGACACCTCGTGGTTGCATAGGCTGGTGTGCTTCTTCCATGTGGGCTTTGTTGCTTCTGAGCTTGATGGCCGCTTGATTACCTTCAAGCCTTTAAGACCCCAGACGCTAGGAAAGCCCATTTTTAAAGAAACTTAGAGCAACAAAGAAATCATCTATAAGCAACGACCAATCTTAGAAATGCCACTTGGTGACAGGAATTTGCTACCAAATTAAAAAGGGACCGTCATTATTTGCTTGCCAGTGGCTATAATTACACAAGTGACTGATAGGCAAGTTTTAGGTAAAATTCAAGGTGTTGAAAACCAAAGAAAACCAAACTCATTGCCATTCAATCGATTCTGACTCCTAGTGGTGCTATCGGACAGAAGAGAACTAGCCCGGTGGGTTTCCGAGACTGTAAATCTTTACAGGAGAGGAGAGCCTCGTCTTTCTCCGGAGAAAGGGGTTAAAGACAGGGAGGAAACAAAAAGGAGGAGAAAGGGGGACAAGAGTCACAGGCCAAAGGAAGAAGGGCTTGAGTAGCAGACAGCAGGGCAGCTCAGAAAACACAGCAGGGGCCAGAAGTGAGGCCCAGAGTGAGCAGAGCCAGGTCCAGGAGAAAGGAGCCTTTCCAGGGGCTGCGGTCCTTTTTGCATTCTAATAAGCTGCTCCGCCCTGTCTAGAACCGGGAGTGTTACCAACAGTTTGGGATGCAGATGTTTTCAAGTCACTAAAGGCATTGCTTTGAGCTCCAGGGGTGCAAACAATGCCAAACCACTGTGTAGCTGCAAGACATCCAGGGACCAGGCAACACTCCTGAAACCTGCAGCCCGGGACACCAGGCCAGCCCGCACCGGGGTTATAGGGAGCACATCCGTTGGTGGCCAAAGTAGGTGCTCGCATACAGAGAACTATAACTATAAAGACAAGAAAACCAGGCCACACCCTGCTTCCCAGACTGCCTCTAGAGCAGCGGTTCTCAACCTGTGGGTCGCGAACCCTTTGGGGGTCGAACGACCCTTTCACAGGAGTCGCCTGATTCATAACAGCAGCAAAATAACAGGAAGTAGCAACGAAAGACATGAGGGGGTCGCAGCATGAGGAAGGTTGAGAAGAACCACTGCCCGAGAGAAAAAGCATCATTTCTCACCTAATCCCAATTGTAAAGGCAACCTTTCCAAATATGCACAGCTGTTTAGGCTCACCTGTCTGGTGAGTAGTGATAAAATGCCTATTCGTTAGATGTGAAAACATGATCATCCTGTTTTGCGGGCCAATTCTGAACCTCCCCCACCCTCACCACCACCACCCAAAATAATTTTTTGAATCCAACCTCCACTAAAAATGTTTCCATCCCTCAAACTAGCTCCGTTTAAGGAAACTTAACAAAGTGGGCCGATTCTGGCAAACCTCCTTCTCAGATGAGCCGATGTTGAGCGCTTGCTTCCAGCTCCCATCAAGTAGGGAATGCAGTGCCTGAGTCTTCGTTGACCTAACACTTTCCAAGGTGTCCTGAGGTGCGTGGGGCTCACAGAACTGTTAGGTCAGTGCTGTGGAGACGAAGCCAATTTCTCTCCACTCGGCCTTCGCTGCGTGCCCACCTTGCTAGATAGGCAGAAGGGTATAGAGCTGATGGCTCAGAACCAGGATCTGTGATCTTTTTTCACTATCCCCTTGTGTACTAGGGCCATCCTCACGGGTCCACTGGTTACTTTTCTCCCTTTATGAAACCAGTACCCGTGCTCATCGAGTGAGGATACTGAGCACGGTGCAGTCACGACCCAATGGAGCGCCAAGCTAACAGCACCCACGGACAAGTACAGTCAGCCCCGCACAAGGCAGCAACCAGGAGAGCAGCAGTCTGCGAGGTCACAAAGGCATTTCAGAAAATGAACTTGAACTGGGCTTACAAGGATAAGTAAGAGTGCCTCAAACAGACGAAGGAGAAATGGTGACGAGAGTAGAATGCAGTATTAATCTTACACGGGGGAAATGTTCTCCTCTCTACTTTGACGTGGTAGATTCAGATCTAGCTGAACTGCCTAGCCCTGCGGTGCCGTGGGGAAAGCGAGTTCAGGAATAACTCCAGGGCCAGTCCTTTGTCTTACATCTTGCACACTTGTTTAAGGGGCCCTGTGCAGCCAAGAGGCTGCTAACCACATCACTGGGTGTTTGAACCCACCCACAGGCTCTGTGGGAGATAGGCTGGGGAGGTGCTTCTACAGAGTGCAGCCTAGGGAGCGTACCTCCCCCCACCCCACCCCAGAGTTCTCCTCTTGTCTGTGGGGCCACTTTGTCCAAAATCCACACCACCTAATAACACACCTGTACCTCTGACTGTATGTGAACAGTAACTGATGTTTATCATGATGTCATCAACACTAAATTAGGTCCAAGATGCCCTCTTAAGTTAGGCGGTGTGTAGTACATTTTTAAAAAATCATTTTATTGGGGGCTCATTCAGCTCTTATCACCATCCATCCATCCATTGGGTCAGGCACATTTGTACATATGTTGCCATCATCATTTTCAAAACATTTTCTTTCTACTTGAGCCCTTGGTAACAGCTTTTTTTTTTTAATACACTTTTTTAGGATCTTTAGAGGTGATTAAATTATTCTATAACTGGAGGTTAATCTCCATTGTTTAGAAAATCAGGTATGTAGAATTGCTATTCTTATAAGGCCCTACATACAATGATGGAAGCGCTGCCTGGTCCTGCACCTTCCTCACAATTGCTGTGTTTGGGCCCCGTGTTGCAGCCACGGTGTCAGTCCATCTCATTGAGGGTCTTCCTCTCTTCACTAGCCCTCTGCCAAGCATACTGGCTCTCCAGGGGCGGGCTCCGCCAGGAACTTATCCAAAGTACGCGAGATAAAGTCTCACTATCCTTGCTTCTGAGGCACATTCTGGCTTTACCACCCCAAGACAGATTTGTTTGTTCTGATAGTCCATGGTCAAGATCCATTGTCAACACCATAACTCCTTTAGACGTCGTTACTCCTTGTCCAACTTCTGCATGCCTCAAACACTCTGAGATCTTTGCTCAGATTTGCTCGATGTAATATGTCAGTTTAGTTCCCGCGGCTGCTTCCAAGGGCAGAGTGGATCCAAGCAAATGAATCGTTTGATAACTTCAGCGAGTGAGCACCTGCCATCCATATACTTCTGACTGTTCTCAGCCCTTCATAAATGTTACTCGTAGAATCCCCGCTGTGGTGTCCCTTGGTCATGCAGACAATAAACCCACTTGGCTGCTGACCAAAAGGCTGGAGGTTTAAGTCCACCCAGAGGTACCTCAACAACAACAACAAAAACAAAGATCAGTCTTGAAAAATTCTCTTGAGACACACACCAGGTGTCATGAGTTCGAATCAATGCAGCAGAAACGCTTTACGATGGAGGCACTCTTGGCATCACCATTTAGACAAGAACGCTGAGACCCAGAGAGGTTACATGACCCCAAATCCCACACATCTAATAAATAGCAGGATTGAAACCGGGCAGTGGGTTTCAACCCCCTACTTTCCATGAAGGGTTGTTCTATAAATAGCACTTGTCTGCAGCCACTAAGGGGTTGCTTGCAGTAATAACAATGGCAGTTATTAAAAACAGACTGACCTTGACCTATCTAGGAACATGTCCAGAGGTGCTCCTAGGGCAGAGTGGTTACATGCTGGGCAAGTTCAGCAATTTGAAATCAGCAGCCCTGCTCCTCGGGCGGGTGATGAGGCTTTCTCCTCCCGTAGAGTTTGTCTGGAAAACTCCCAAGGGCAGTTCTACCCTGTCCTAGAAGTTTGCCGTCAGTTGGAATCTATTGCTGGCAGTGCGTTTTTGAAGTAACATGTTGCACCGCTCAGGTTTTTGAAGTAACATGTTTGCACCTGAGGTTCGAAGAGAGAATAGAGAGGGTCCTTCCTACCCTGATCCTGACGGCGCTGCAAAGACTTGGCAACAGAGAAATGAAGCACACTGTGTCTTGACCTCCATGTATACGGCAGGGTGCTTACCACGGCTATAAACAGCAGGCAGGAAGAGCAAGCGTTTAGTTGTCACTGTTGGGATGGAATTAAAATGTGCTAACTTGCAAACTATTTCCCTTTCAGCTGTTACGGAGGACTTGGGAGATCTTGTCTTGGTAAGAAATGAACTTTCATTCGTTTTTACTTTTAGCCTCAAGGTAGATAAATTCCTGGTTCTGGGCTACATGCTCAACTTGGGAATAAAACAAAACAATATAAATCTGCTCAAACTCCAAGGATTCCTTAAGAGCCTGCACATGTGCTCCTAACCTTGGAGGGGAATCAGCGGTCTGTTGAGCATTGGTCTGGAGCAGCACAGTAGGCCCTGTGCCTTCGTGTTTGGGTTTCTAATGTTCTCCCCAGGCAGGTGTTGGGAGGCTGCCAATAACTTCAGAACAATAACCCTGGGCCACTTAAGTATGAAATCTAAAGTTGATTATTGTACGTTAATTTAGGTCTCATGTGTTCAAATGGTTCACGAAATGCCCTCCTATATGAAGTCTATTCATTTCAGTCTTTGGCATCTCAAAACTAAAACAAAACAAACAGCATTGTGCTTAAAAAGACACAATCAGGAAAGTGAAGACAACCCCCAGAATAAGGTTGGGGGGGTGGGGAGACACCATTTGCGAACCATATATCTGAAAAAGTACCTAGGATATAAAAGAACTCTTACAGCTCAATAGTAAAATGACAGCTGGCCCAAGCTTAAAGTGGACAAAGAATCTGGATAGATTATGTCCCCAAATACGGTATGCCAATGAGAAGATGTTCATGTCACTCATCAGAGAAGGCAAACCCACGTCACAAGGGGACCCACTAGGGGAGTGGAATCAAAATGTCCCAACAAGTGTCATTGCAATGTAAAGAAATCAGAGCCCCCACGGGCTGCTAGTGGGGACGGAGATTGGCACGGCCACTCAGAAAGGTGGTGAGCTCTCCCAAATGACCCTGCAGTGCCATCCCTAGCTATGTGCTCCAACGTGTGTCCATGTGAAAACCGGCATTCTAGTGTTTATCGCAAACAAACAAAAAGTAGTGTTTATCGCAGTATTCCTCATGATCACCAAATGGTGAAAAGCACCCAGGTGTCTACCAGCTGACAAGTGGATGCACAAAACAGGTCTACCCAGACAGTGGCTATGAAAAGGAACGAAGTATCGCTACAACATACATGAACCTTAAATTCATGCTAAGTGAAAGAAGCTAATTGCAAGGAACCACATACTGTATAATTCCATTTCTATAAAATGTGCAGAATAGACAAAGCCGTTCTTCTCATTGCTGTGGTCAGGTGTCATAAGTCAGTTCCACCCCGGAGCCACCCTGACTCCGCACAACAGAAGGAAGTACGGCCCAGTTCGGCACCATCATCACAGTTGTTGCTGTGCCTAAACCCATGGTTGTAGCCTCTGGGTCAGGCCATCTCCTCCAGGGACTTTTTTTTGCTGCCTCTCCACTTTACCAAACATGATGTCCTTCTCTGGGGACCGAGCTCTCCTGACGACATGTGCAAAGTCTGAGACCACGTCTCGCCAGCCTGGCCTCTAGGGAGCACTTTGGTTGTACTTCTGAGACAGATTTGTCTGTCCTTTTAGCAGCTCGTGGGGCTCTTAATCCTCGCCGGCACCACAGTTTAAATGCATCAATTCTTCTCTGGTCTTCCTCATTTAAATCATTTTACTGGGGGCTCTTACAGCTTTTTATTTCTTACAGCTCGTTTAACAGTCCATATATCAATTGTTTCAAGCATATATGTACATATGTTGCCATCGTCATTTTCTAAACATTTACTTTCTATTTGAGCCCTTGGTATCAGCTCCTCTTTATCCCCACCTCCCACCCTCATGACAGTCCAGTAAAGCTGGTTTAAGAAAAAAAATGATGTTAGTGTTAAACTTAAATGCAGTCACTTAAGATAATTTACCTGTCAAGAAACACACAAAGTGACCTCACACTTTTCATTGTGAACAACTGCAGCAAAACGTCTTCTGCACCAAAAGAAATCTAACTACACCAAAAGTGTACGATTTAATAACACCTGCTTTTCCCGTCGTGTTCTGTTAGTCGCCGCTTGTCTCCTTCTCTACCTGTCTGACACGGTGTCGCCACAGCAAGCCATAGACAGCCTGAGAGACCTCAGAGGGTCGGGGGCCATACAGACCATCAAGGTATGGAGGCTGACGGGTCGGGTTGAGACAGTTACAAATGCATTGTCATTTATAAATAAGAGGACGTGAAAATGAAAACCCAAAGCATTCCACAATACCATCTTGTTTATATATTTTAATGTGTTTAAATATAACACTAATGTCTGCAAAAGCTTACACGATTGTATACAAAATAATGAGAAAATGTGTGCTTTTGATACGTGGGACCAACCAAGGAACCCACGGAAACCAACTGTGAGCCTCCCTCCCTTAGTGCCTGAGTTCCTTCCTTTAGGGTGAACATTACCTTGGGGGTCTGTAACGGCCAAGTGCTAACTACTCTGGTCCTACTTCTTCACTGGGCATCCAGTGGCAGGTGAAATGTAAATTAAACTCTAAGATTCCTTATGCTTGTAAAGTTCTTAATTAAAACAATTTGCGATTAAAGAGAGAATGCAAACTTTCTAGTTTCTTCTTCCTGCATCTACTACTCTGGTTTTGCCCAGTAAGTCCTAGAAATGGATACTCTCACTTCTAAAAATATGATGGTTTTACTTATAACTTGGTGATTTTGCCGGGGAAATATTTGGCCAAAAAGATCTGCTGGAGGCCCTGTTAGATCAAAAGGCATTTAATAATGATAGATGAATGACTGTACCATAAAAAAAATGCTCAGCCATTGCTAATGCATCCTTTGCTGTGGACAGCCTATCGGCATCTTCCACACTTACTTTCCCCTGAGCACGTCAAACACTGCAGAAGCCCTGCCCCGGGCGATGACAACCCCCCTCATTCTATCCACAAAGGCCAGGGCAGGGCTGCTGTTTTCACCCCGAGCGTCCCCCCCTCATTCTATCCACAAAGGCCAGGGCAGGGCTGCTGTTTTCACCCCGAGCGTCCCCACCACGGATCTCCCTGTGCCCCTGGCCCAGTGTGGGAAACACAGGGCACAGAAGCCCCCCACCTACAACCCCCACCTTGCCACCGGGGAGCCTTTGGCGGTTGGGGAGGGGGGTGATGTTCAGTGGCTCCCTGCCTCCTGGTGCCTGCCACTTCCTGAGGTCCCTTCCCTCCCCCCCCTCCCACAGCTGCCCCCAACTTCCCCAGGCCCTGGATACCTCCCTCAGGCTTCCCTGCCTGCCCACCACCCTGTACCATCCCACCACCACCCAAACCCTACGTGGCCAGACTGAGACCTCAGACAAACAGTGTCCCACAGCCAGTCAGCCCGCCACCGGCCACCAAGTAGGCCTGCTGTTGACAGGCCTTCCAGGGTAGGTATCATCCAGGGTAGCCCGAGTAGGTGCCCAGGCCCAGCCCAGGCCTGCACAGAACCCTGGCCTTTCAAAGGTGCCTGAGCAGTTTCACTTATCGTAAATATGAACAATCAGATGAGAGTTAATAAGCAAGGCATAGGTGTGTTAACATTGTTTTACTGAAATTGGAAAATTTTGCTGTATGTGTGGATTTATAAAATTGTCTTCCTTTCCCAAGTACCGTCTCCACCTTAGACTCCATCATCAGACAGGGTCCTCAAAGAATCCTAGTCTCCAATGGGCTCCCTCAGGCTAGGGCTCTCACAAGTGCCACACACCCTGGATTACTATAACACACTTCACCAAGTAGCCTCATTCTTTGGGCTCTAATATAGTCATGCACAAAATGGGCTGTGCTGTATCCACATCCCAAAATGTAGCTCTGTAGAGGTTTTGGGAACCGTGAGCTCACCTTCTTCAAATCCAAGATAGCGAGAAATATGTTTTCCCATCCTCAGTCTTAAAGAGAATCAGGCCCATGTTAGTCTCCATTTTCAGTTTGTCCCGTGTCCCCTCCTGCTTTCTGAGTCTCTGCTGATAGAAGTCGGCAGAATGCAATTTCACCTTCTGCATCAGCACAGGAAATGAGATTGCTGGCAGAGCAAGGGGTCCTCTGGGAAGATACTGAAGTTCCACATAAATTATTGCACGCTTTCACTTTCTTCTCTGTCAAGATCGGTGATAGGATGTCTCTGGTGTGGGTCTTAAGATTGTCTGCTGTGAAAACTGGTCCAAATGGGTTATGTCACCAAAAAAAAAGAATAGTTGGTCAAGCGTCTAGATTTTCTAGTTGCTACCAAAAGTGCCCTTCCCTCCCAACTTCCTCCCCAACGAACTCGCAGCCACGGCGTCAAAGCCGGCTCCCGGCAACCCTTGGGCCCTACAGGGCCCTACAGCCCTCTGAGTTTCCGAGACTGTAACTGTCCAAGAGGAAGCCCATCCTCTCCCCTGGAGGGGCTGGTGGTTGTTCTATCAGCAAGAGAAAGGACTTAAAAAGGTTCACCTGAATTTCATGCTACCTTGGGATATATATATATATATATATATATATATATATATATATATATATATATATATAATCATTTTATTGGGGGCTGGCTCTTACAACTTCTTTATATTTAAAGTCATGGTTTCCCACACGATGTACGGCCTTTCATGCTAAGTTTGCAGCTTTCTTTAAAGATCAAACTTCCCTATAATGCAAATGTTTTCTTGCCCAAAAGGGAGTCAAATCAATTCCTGATTTCTTTGCTATTATTGGGACTACTCTGGGAACTGGTTTTCTTCAACGTTATTTTTTCAACTTGCCTTTACTTTTTTTGCAGCAATATAATTATCTTCATGAGTTCCGGGACATACTAGCTGCCCATCTATCATCAAGAGAGTCACTATCAAGATCTGTGTCTAGATAAAGAATTGCATAAAGTGTACATCTGACCATGTATGAAATTGAAGAGATCGCTAATGAAATTTGTATGGCAACGAAACCACTAGTTATCCACCTGAATGTCAAATGTATATATGCAAATATTCCTAAAGATTTTATTGACAAACTTCATGTCTCCTGCATCTCTGATAGGGGAGGGGTGGAAAACTTTGTAGACACGCACTGCCAGCTCTAGTCTGTTTTACTGGGGAGGGGTGCTAAAAAAAAGCAGGGAGAGAAAATGTTTAACCACTTTTTATTATGGTTGTACCGTATTTTACTATTTGTCCCTACTGTGTGATGTGTGGCATGCTAATCAGGTGGAACACTGGCGTGGCTACACAAGCTTACTTTGAAACCACTTTCACCCTCTTCTCCTCCCCCAATTTCTTCCCATTTTTTTAGGCTCACAGAACTGTAGGGGTTCCATTAATCATCTAACCAAGCGGTTCCCAACCTGTGGGTCGCGACCCCTTTGGGGGTCAAACGACCCTTTCACAGGTGTCATCAATCATAACAGTAGCAATATGAGAGTTATGAAGCAACAATGAGAATAATTTGATGGCTGGGGGTCACCACCACATGAGGAACTGTATGAAAGGGTCGCAGCCTGAGGAAGGTCAGGAACCACTGATCTAGTCGGTTTCCTGCTCCCAGCATCTGCTGACTCACCCTGGGGAATAAGAAATCCAGTGGTTCTCACTGCCTGCTGCATTGTCAGAAGCAGTTACCCAGAGCGCCGCCCTCACCCCTTCACCTCATGTAGTGTTCTGAATCTGCCCCGTGTTTCTTCACATTCAACCGTGAGCTACCCCAGCAGCCTGTGAACTGTCACACGATGAGTCCAAGCTACCTCATTTTAACAGCCATCATGGTCTTGGTCATGTATACAAGTCGCACAAGTCTCTCTGCTACCAGAGAACCTCCTCCCACCCCCCACCCCCGCCCCCTTCCGCCAATTCAGCCAATCTTCATTTGGCTAGCACCACCAGTTGATAAAAGCATAGGTACTTCCACACAAAAAAGTAAATTGTACATAAAAGCTTCATTTTTAAATTATAAGTGAACAAAGTTCTTATTTTGTCTCGCACACCTCCTGTTGCTCTCTAAAACCACGACAAGTGCTGTTTGAGAACTTCAGACCAGACCCAGTCTGTGCTAAACAAACACTTGAATCCTTTTGTACATTGCCTGTAGGACCTCAACCTTTGAGAGAGACCTAGGGAGGGGATGATCACAGGCCCATCAGGCTCTACATGTTTAGCCTAACGGTTTCTTAGATAATAAATATCTAAATGGTTGCAAAGAAGTTTCTATTTTTTAGTAATGGACACAATAGTAGGTTTGCCTTCATATTACAATCAAATGTAAAAAGAATTCTGCCTTGGGAAAAGTACAGCCAGAATGGCTCCTTAGAAGCAAGGATGATGGGACTTATCAAGAAAGACCAGTCCCTGGAGAAATCGGTCATGCGTGGTAAAGCAGCGCTGCAGAAGACAAGCTGAACACTAGCTTCAAACAGCATCCGTTATGAGGTTGGCAAAGAGCCAGGCAGTTTTAGTCTCTTGTCCACCAGGAAGGGCACTATGAATCAGACCTGACTCATGCAACCATCACAGTAAACCAAACAGGACTGCAGATCGCAACATTCGACTAACCTGTAGGGAGGGAATCATTAAAACGGCCATTTCACAAATCCTGTCGTTAGCTTTCACTTAATATATATTGCCTACCCATGCATAGTGAGGAAAATGGAAAGAAAATGTTGGCATGGATCAGCCAAACCCTTTAAAAGTGAATGAATGTCCAATGTTTATGCATCTTTCCACCTCCACTGAAAGTGCTAACAAATGTTTGGCTGATATATAATCGGTGACTCCAGAGCAGAGAAGCGGGATGTTCACTACTCAAATAAAAGGGTCCGGTTATGTGTCATGACATGGATTGCCAACGTTAGTATTCTCCCTGGCCACCGCCCGCCAGCTTTCACTGCAAATGAATCAGATCACCACGCAGACAGCCATCACCCATAAATTACACAAGGAAGTATTTGAGACCATTTTAATTAAATATACAAAATCAAATTCAAGGGAACCCAGGGAGGGAAGGTAGGACTGTCTGCAGGCTTGTTCTTTTGGACAGTGGTACAGCACCAGTGCAGTTCACTCTGGGATCTCAACCACCATGAGCACAGGAAGCAGTATGGACCACCTACACTGCACTTGGTAGTCCAAGGCCCACCGTGTCACCGGTGGACTGGTAACCACTACACCACCCGGGCTCCGGACGATAAAAAGGCTGGGTGACACTTTTTTCTCTCGTAGAACCATGAGCTGTATTATATTATTCATGCCAGAGGTTCACTAGCTGCAGAGAGTGATCGGTTTGAGTAAGAAAGGGTTTTCAGTTATTTGAGACACATGAGTAATTTCCAAAAAGGATGAACGTACCTTTCATGAATATTGCCAAGTGCATGGTTATCAATGATCTTTTTTGCTCTCTGAAAAAAGAATATTGTTTGAATGTTTTTGCCAACTAGTCTAGTTTGTACAACTGTTGAGAGATGCACACTTATGGGCAATGGAATAAAGTAGACCTATAACTCTAGTTCACAGATTTTAACAGATCGTTATTTAAGTGGGTTTGACGCCAAACGCATCGAAGTGCTTTGCTGGATCCACACCTACGATAAAAGCTCACCCCTGTAAGATAGGAGAGACAGACAAGTCACTATTTGTACCCATTGGCAATAATATTCAAGGAACACAACTCCTGAGCATGTCACTAAAGGGAGACGGAGGGGTGGGGGGCTAATTCTGCCAGTGCCAAGTGCATCTCTCTCGATTTCCTTTCTGTGAAGACATCTGACATGTTTCCAGCCTCTGTTGCCTTAGGAAGCAGAGCAGAGAGCTTTATCAGAGCTAGTACCAGAAATGCTCTCCAAGTTGAAAAATAGGGAACAGGGTGTGGGAAAGATCCATGCCAGAGGCAAACTGCACAGACTTTGTTGCTTGGTGAAAGACCGTTATCTGTGTACCTGAACCTGACTGATGGGTCCAGCATTCCCTGGTACAATCAATGATGCTTTACAGGTGCCTCACTGATAGCCAATGGATGCTGTCTGGTCACTTCTTAACGTTCCCCTGCTTCATGAAAAATATCCAAACTTCATACAAATAATCTGTCTGCTACCTTGAAACCAGGGGTCGGCAGTGAGGGGTGGGAGTAGATATAAATGGTGAAAAGAATCAAAATCATTAGTAAACCTTTAATATAATATTCAAGTACAGTTCCTACCTTACACTTCAATACTAAAGGGATACACTGCCATAACATAGGAGAGTACTTCAAAAAACTCGTGAAAACTGTTCCATTATCTTAATTCCGTTTTCCATAGATTTTTCTCAAGCACCTTCATAGTATTACTCAATAGACTACCTGCTGTTTTTTGAAAAAGTAAACGTTGTTGATATAAGACACTTACTAGAGGATAATCTGCGGTACCATAGCAACAACGAGTTTCTGATATGTAGATGTAACAGTGTGATGCCCCAGATGCAAGGATTCAGACCGGCTGGACCTGCAGAAAGAGCCGAAGGTAAGCCTCACTGCCAAATGCACTACCATCAGGTCAATGTGAACTCACAGTGACTATAGGACAGCATAAAACTGCCCCTGTGGATTTGAGAAAACTGTCACTCCACATGGAAATAGAAAGCCTTGTCTTTCTCCCACGGAGTAGCTGGTGGTTTTGAACTGCTGACCTTGTGGTTAGCAGCTCAACTCATACCCATTAGGCTACCAGGGCTCCTGGAAGGTAGGTTGCCCAAAACAGATAACTAGGGAAAGAAATTAAACTCCAAGCAAGGGAAAAAGGCCAGTGGGACGCTGTGAAACGCAAGTTTTCTCCTTCAACTTCTCTTGGTACAGTGATCTAATCCCATCAAACTCTGTGAAGGCCCAAAGTGGGTAGACCTTTCCTGGGTCTACCCACAGTGCCAATCCTACCTGCCACAGTGCCAATCTTCCAGAAGGAACCAACTGCACATCTGATTTCTGAAGCTTGAGAAGGTGGCTTTCACAGATTTGGGGGAAATATCCTAGAATACTTAAAAGGATGTTTAAGAAAACGTATAAAGGGAAGCTGTGTTTGCTAAGAGACGGCATGCACTCCTGAAAAACAGCTCGATGGAAATACTATTAGGCCTGGGGAAGCCCTCGGTTCCAGCAGATCTGGGGCTCATGATCCAAAGTTCCTGGACAGGGAGAACGAGGAGTGGGAGCGAACACAGGTAGAGGTGGTTAGACACTGCATGACTGCACATGCTCAGAGCACAGATGCACAGTGCCCAGCACTTTGCTGTTGCAAAGCCAGCACTCAAAGAACTGACCGCGGACGGGTGAGCAGAGCCCTCGAGGTGTCCTGAAGACTATAGAACATGGGCCTTAGAACATCCGTCGTGAAGAAATGGTTCCACTCTCCTCATTCTTGAGGTTCTTCGACATACACACCCGACACCCAATCCCCAGACAGAGCTCCTCTCCCAAAGGGGAGGAAGTGTCCTTTCAAAGCCATTTTTCACAATGAGAGACAAAAACAGTGTCTAACTCACGGACTTCCACATAGTAAAGCCTCCACAGCATCTACAGAAACCCCGTCATCATGATGCCAACTTTGCAGGTATCGGTCGGGAAACTATTCAAGACCCTTCTGAACCATCTGCACTCCTTTCGATGTTCTGTACCTACCTCCTGCCAAATGATGCACAGGGACATTTACAGAAACATGCACGCCACAATGGGCCTGCCTTTCGAGACATTTCTAACTAAATTGGTTAGAAAAATGGTGATGTTCTGACATCAGCACAGCACTCAGAAGTTCTGTCAACATAAGGCCTCCCAACAGAGGTTCCAGGCATGGCATTTTGTAAGAGAGAAAGCCACCATAATGCTCATTATTTTTTCTTAAAAGTTTGATAGGAATGTGTCTTGATTATGGAGTAAGCAAGTCTAAGAAACAGCTATCTGTGATCTTCAAAACACTGCACTGCAAGTCAAGTCTTCATTTCAGACTTTTATTGTATTGCACTAAAGGAACAGCAGGCCGGCTATACAATGTTCTCTCTCAGTCGTTTGGAGAAGCTACAGTACTTGCAAATCCTTAAGGGTGCTTCTGCCACCAGATTACAGTAATGACAACCAATCTCTTAGTCAGTAATGTCTTGCAAATAATACCACATTTAAAATAACTTTAAATGCATCCTTCACAATTAGTGTACATATTTTTTAATATCATTCACTTATGCTTAAGAATTAAAGCAAGTATTTACTCTGATGAAAGTATGGGCAATCTCTCATTCATGCAATATACGGAGATAATACTCAAGGAGGAAGGTGGAAAAACAACCCCACTCTTGTTTTGTAAAAGTATCCATGTATAATCATCTACATGATAGACGAGGAAACATAAAGTTTCCCAGTGGTCAAACACATGTTCAGCTCGTCAGAAGCACTTGATGTCTACAGCTCACTGATAATCAGATGGCATTTCAATAAAACCAAAGGCGTCCTACAGGTTCCTACAAACGAAAGCTTCCCGTAGACTAAGTGCAGTCAGAAACCAACACAATCATTCCGAGGAGCACGGCTGTTCCTTAATGAGTGCAAGTTCACACCTGTCGACACCAGAGGTAATCAGTTTATGTTATTTGATACGCAATTCCATTTAAATGCTTTATCCAAGTATAACATATGAAAACAGTCTTTCCACAAGCAAAAAATGTGGAAACATTTAAAAAATAAGGAGTCTTTTTTTTTTTTAAAGTAACTGATCAGATTCCATCGGCTCCTCTTGGAAAAAGGATCCTCTGGGTTAGAATCCTCTCGCACGGTGGCTTCTGCATGCACTTAACTGAACCAGCTCTTCTGTGCGTCTGCCTACGAGCTCACCAGGACATAGATCATGCTGAAAAGAAGAGAAGGGCGGTTAAGTCCAACCTTCCTAAGCATAACAAGAACATCAGTGTCCAGCAGCTTTACAGAGCAAACGGGGAAATCACACCATCACAGAAGGTGCAAACCAACCACCACCCGAATGGCAAGTTCTCAGTGGAATGTGAATTTGCATTGACAGGTTTTTGCCTGAGGTAGGACTGGGATCGAAGGGCATGCTATAATTTTCCCCAATTTCCTTTCCAATTTGAGCAAACAGAACAGCTAAACCAGGTGACAGCTGCCTGGGAAACCAGGGCTCAGAGACACGATCCAAAGTGCTGCCCTGCCCCAGAGCTCTGGCTCATCCTGAGCTCTTGCTCCGTCTGCAGGGCAGCAGTGTAGCCCCTTCACTGCCTGCCTGAGAGGCAGGGACTGGTAGTGGCCCCGTTGGACAGTGGGCATGGTCAATTAGCGAATGCACTCTTTAAAGAAAAGCTCTACGAAAGAGCCCAGAGTTAAAAAAGACCCACATAAAAGAGTTTAATCATTCAATTGAGAAGGGCTGACCTCCTAGCCTAAGGCAGGGGTGAGGAAGGCCTGGCCCCAGAGCATCCAAAATCATCCATTCCAACCAACTTCACAGGCTCACCGAGAAGCAGTTGCGGCCGCCACATTCAGGGTGAGTGAAAGAAATGATTGACCAGGATGGCCCACGGATGAGGTTATAAATAATACCCAAATGGCCCTTGGCAGGAGAAAGGGTGCCCATCCCATGCTAGTCTACTCACTTCCACAGCTGCAGCTTCTGAAAGCACAAAATGGGTTTTCTCTAAGTTGCTCTCTAGCCTGTCTCCCATTCCTACAAATGGAGATTGACGTGGTATAAACCAAAATGACTAAGCTACCTACCATATAATCCTTAGCAAGTTTTCCAGTAACAAAAAGGAGGGAAATTAAAAGCATAATTACTAAAGAATGTCATTTTATATAGCTGGTTTTATTCATGTTTTAAAAATCCGATGGAAAGCTATCCTTGAATATGCCATCAGGAAGAGGAGGGAAAAATGTTATATATGTGTAGACCTTAAAAGCAAAAATCCAAACTCGCTGCCATCAGGTTGGTTCTGACTCAGAGAGCCCCTAGGGCAGATCAGAACTGCCCTGTGGGTTTCCAAGACTGGAACTCTTTGTGACTGTAGAAAGAGCAGCGGGTGCTTTGAACTGCTGGCCTTGTAGGTAGCAGCCCAGAGCATAACCACTACACCACCAGAGCGCCTCACATGCCTTAAAGCGCCATTACGATCATATACTAACGGTGACCTTTCCTGGTATGAATACGCAGCCAGAGCAATTGGAGGGTGGGGACTTGCCCCTCAGAGAGCATTTGGCGATGTCCAGCGACACTATTGGTTGCCACCACTGGGAGTGGGGGTGCTACTGGCATCCACTGGGTAGAGGCCACAGATGCCGCCAACCTCCTACAACGCACAAGACAATGCCCACAACAAAAACTTAGCTGCCAGGGAGTCGGCAGGGCCAAGACAGCGAACCCCGGAGCTCCAGGAAAGACGATGACTCCGCTACAGAAACCCGGGGGAATTGGATAGGTCTACCACTATGCACAACACGGAACTGAGCCTTCCCTTCCTTCCACCCCGTCTGCACACCAGCAAACGAAAGGTGGCATGTACCATCTGTGAAGCACCCTGAGGGAAAACTTCACTGAAATCTCAGGAGAGACAGGGAAATCAAGCAGAACTTTTTTTTTGCAACCTCGCACCCCAACCTTTGGCATCCCTCGAGCGCGGAGTGAGGACATGGGAAGACTTGGGGAGCAGCAGCCCTGACCCCAGCTTCAGGCTCTGACTGCCCTCCTAGACAAAGACCCTCGCACACCAGCCTGAACAGACACCACTCCGGACACCGAGTGATTCTGCAAACTTAAAACAGCCAAAGGAAATCATATTTTCCAAACTTACCCGTATAGGTAGTAAAAAAAGGCTAGGAGATAAAAAGCTAATTTGCACCATCCTTCTTTCTGACAATATGCTAGAATATCTGCATTCATGATGGTGGTGGGGTCATAGAGTCCTGGGCCGCTCATCACCGGTCTGCTCATATACCTGCAATACACAAAGTCTGTTAGTGACCGGCCCTTCTGGACGCAAGGAGGGCTCTTCTCAAAGGCGAGTCGAGTCATTGGCCCCAACTTCCAAGGGGGCCCTTTTGTACAACTCTGTCCTAAAGTCGCCTCTGATGTAATTCAAAGACCTTTGTTTTGTTTTCATTATCATTGCATTTATTACTAGTGTCTTTATCTCTTTGTAAATCCAATCTTTATCGGTAAGTGAATGTTGGAGAATGACATCTGCAAATTACATACATGCAGTAACGCTGTATGCAGTACATTTTACAAACGATAAATACAACTAAGATACCAAACTCGCTGCCATCGAGTCGATTCTGACTCAGTGACCCTACAGGACAAGGCAGAACTTCCCCAGTGGCTTTCTGAGACTGTCAATCTCTACAGGAGTGGGAGCCTCATCTCTCTCCCACAGAGGGGCTAGTGGTACTGAACTGCTGGCCTGGCACGTAGCAGCCCACTGGGGTCACCACTACACCACCAGGGGCTCCTGACTAACGATGTTTGGGCGGGGAGTGGGGGTAAGGTCACAAGTGCAAGCCATCAGAACGCCAATGCACCCTCAGTCTGGGGCTACTTGGTTCAAATGAGAGGTGGTCCACCAAGGAAAGCAGAGTTCGCTATGAGTTGCATTCTCTTCTTTTATAATCTGAAAACTAGAGCCCAAAGTGAACAGAACTAGACAGCCAAGCAGTCCTATCTGGTCTCCTCTGTTGTCAGAAATCCAACAGAGGCAGCAATACCAAAACCAAACTTGTTGCCACAGAGTTGCCTGACTCACAGCGACCCTGCAGGACAAAGCAGAACTGGCCCAATGGGTTTCCCAGGTGATCAATCCTTACAGAACAGACTGCCATGTTGCCGGTGGGTTCAAACTACCCCTGAAGTGGGCAATTAAGCACTTAACCACTGCGCCACTAGTAAATGTAAATATATACATCTGTGTGTATATATATCTACGATTCTTTTAACTTTCCTTTGACTACACTTGCAGTTCCTCCTATTTAATTTTGTATACTTTGTTTCTTGACCCGTATGTCAATTTATCCCGTGTATTTTGAGGTGAGCATTACATTCTTCTCTATGTGGCCAAGTTTTAAAATAATTATCAATACAATCACACTTTAGTAAAAGGGCATGAATTTGTGATAGAACTCTATTTGTAAGACTTATTTGCCTAAGGGCTCTAGTGGAAAGCAAATGTTTTGAGAATGATGATAGCAACAAATGTACAAATGTGCTTGACACAATGGATGGATGTATGGATTGTGGTAAGAGCTACACAAGCCCCCAATAAAATGATTTAAAAAAAAAAAACTTACTTGCTCAGTTACAGACATGATACTAATTTATCCCTAAATAGTTCAGTACATATTCCCTAAAATTGAGGGTAATGAGTTTTTTCTCCCGCCATATTTTATTATGCTTGTAAAGAAAATCTATGTAGCACATAAGGCAGGTTCTCGTCTAACAACTTCTGTATCTATTACTCAATGGCATTGGCTACTCTTCACAATGGCCATGCAGTCGCATTATTTTCATGCTGGTTGTTCTGGTCCATTTGTCTAGCTTCCTTGTTCCACCCTCACTTTCTCATCTTTAGTCGAGGGTCAGTGTAGGTCTCATTTAGACGATTGCTTAGAAGAGCCAAGTAGTATTTCTTTTATGAGCCACTTTGTCTTCTGGCTGGTAGGTGACACGGCCGGGTGGCCTGAGTTCCAAGTATAAAAGGAAGCTGGGGGGTAATAGGCTTGGGGGTTCCTCTAGCTTCTAGGGGCCAGTAAGGAATCTGAGTTTCACTCTACATTGTTCTCATTCTACTCGGGACCACCGATGGTGTGGCTGGGTCGTGGTAGTAAGTCTCCAGGGGTAAGGTCATGGTTTCTGCAGAGTATCAGTCCTGTACACTAGTCTTTTCTTTGAGTCTTGGTAATTGGATATTAGATGCCACTCCCTAGGGTGTAGAACTTTGCCTTTATGAGCTTTCTTTTGACAATTGAGAGTTAGCCACCAGACTATGGTCCTAAACCCTCAAATCCGATAATCCAGTCTCTCAAAGTGTTTGGTTATATCTAACAAGTATCAATAACTATGTCACCTGCGTGCTTTACTCTCTATATGAATATATATGCAGTACAAACACATATATATTTTTGTCTACAGAGACCTTCACAAGCACATCTGTATACTCGTATATGCTTATCTGTTCATATATAAGCATGTGTCTATGTAACACACATGTATGTTTTGGTTGCTATTGTAGTTACTATAAAACTTTATGTATTCAGGCTTTTACCAAAACTACCCCTTGTTCTTGTGGGGCAAGGTGATTTTAATATGACTATTTAAAACAAAACAAAACCTTCATTTAGGAAGATTAGCTAGAACTATTAGCTAGAAGAATTACATGCTAGATATATTGTGTAGGAATAACCCAATTTTATTTATAAATTAAACATGGATAAAGTACATTTCAATTTATATGAAGTTCAAAGGTGGCCAGAACTAATCCCAAGGTTCCCCTGGGGAAGGCTGGGCAGCACCTGACCAGAATGGGACCCAAGGGAGTCTTCCAGGGGCTAGACCTGCCCTGTGTCTTCATCTAGGTAGTGGCTTCTCTCGTTCTCTCTCTCTCTCTCTCTCTCTCTCTCACACACACACACACACACACACACAGAGTCAAAACGCCCTGCACTGGACACTCCAGGCTCATATGTATTGTCGTGAGGGACAGCTCAGTTTTCTAAAAAGCCCTTTAAGAAGGTAATCCAGCAAGCCTCATAAAGGATATGAAAACAGTTATTTGTTCATCAATTTGATTTTTATAATGTCAACTCAGCTTCATATGTTCATTTAGGAGACTAGCATATGTAAGAAAACCACATCAAACAGTATAATTAAAACTGATGAAGAAAATCATTAGCAGAACAGCTCAATATTACCTCCAAATATGATACGCCAAGAGGGGCATATTGAGACCCAGCGTAAGCCACTCTGCCGCACAGAGAAACATGACGCAGAAGAAGGCGTGGATGAGGTACTCCGGAAGCACAAGCTGGAAGAGAAACACAAGCCGGTCATCGAAACGTCTTTGCACTAAGGGTAATGCCAACTGCTCTTATGGAAAGCAGGTGGCAACCAAGTTTCCCTAATGTCAAAAAAAATCCGTTTCCTTAGAATCAGAGATGAAAGGTGCTAGTCAATTTTTTAACTTTTTACCAATAGCAGGGTTGTAGGCAAACTAACCAAAGGAGATAGCTTGCATTAAAAACGTAACCCCAAATTGTCAGAAGCCAGAGGTTAAGTGACACAAAGTTCCCACCCAGCATGATCCCAGCTGTTTGCTAATCAAATGGAGAATGCTTTCTTTGCACCAATCAACAAATGATAAAAATACCACATGCAACATGAGATTAGGTGGGCGGCAAAAGTCCCTTTTGGAGATACAGACATCTGTGTTCTTAAGCCTTTAACAGAAACTGGGAGTGTGACATGAACAATATTTGCAAAGCATATCACATGACCACAAAAGTAATCTTCAGTGGAAAGCCAATCAGCCAGGCATCTCAGCACAGTTGGGAAGAAGCACCAAGATGAACAAATGCAGACAAGGAGCCTTGTGCAATGTAGGAGGGAAAGACTGAGTTCTTCACGGTGAAACGAGTCTCCCAGGTCCCTGGGCCCACGGGCTCACAGGGCCGTTTCCCTTTCCTTCCCCAAAATGCTGCCGTCACAGCAGGATTTTCAGATCAGCGCAGGCTCAGAACTCAAATACGAATCTCTTGATCAGAAGCAGCACTGAATGTGAGAGAAAAGTAATCCCAGCAAAATGCTTCTTCTACAATGACCACGAGTTAACTATGTCTAAGCTGAACTATAAGCAAAGCAGTGCTTTCCTCAACGTGACCTTGCCCACCCTGATGATCTTCAGCCAATGACTTTTTAAAATGCCAAGACCCTTCATTGCAACTTTCAAATAACCTCCCACAAAGCCCGTTTCTCAACGGCCTACTTTGTACTTCTGACCAAATGGAAATTACATGAAGCTGAGGCACCATCAGACTTATTCTGAGGGGAAAGCTGGACGAATGTAGGAATAATAAACTTACACTCCATCGTCAAGCTCACTTCCTAACGCCTTCAAATGTAAAGCTGTAAAGGCGGTGACACTGCAAATGTCATCTCAGTGAGGTGAGCTAATGTCCACCACTAACCAGCTGTTTTCTAGAAACATCAGCAATATAGTAACAACAGACGAAACAACAAGGTAACTTTAAGTTAGTATCTATTTAAGTACTTAAGAGCAAAGTTACATAGCTGTAATCCCCTGACAGCTGGGGGCTGGGGGGGGGGGATCCCACACATTCAAAGGAAATCTTTGAAACCCACTGACTACAATGACACAACCAAGAAAAACTACACATTGTAGGGCGAGTCCCACTAGATCTATTCCTAATACTGGGTGGAAGTATTCCTTTTCCCCCTAGAAAACATGATCGGCCTAATTCAGCCCTCAAAAGCCAGTTGGTAGCTAACGATACAAACCCAAGGTTTCGACCTTCAAGCACTGACTGAGCAGTGAGGAGGGAGAGCTTGATTCTCACGGCTCTTGCACAGTGAACTTGGAGCGTGGTAACAAACACAGTCGACGGCCCAGCCGGTACTACAACGACGCAAGCACCGAACTCTCGCCTCCCCCCCAAACACTCCAGGTAGGTTGCATGCCCATCGCTCAAAAACATTAAATAAAAAAGCGTCCTCTCCAACCATTCTTGTAGGGACCAGACTTGCCCCACAGTGACACACAACCCATTCCACCTAGGACCTAAGGTCACACAAAAGACGGGTACCACGGGAAAAGACTCATGCAAATATGGCTGAGATGACAGTACTGAGAACATGCAAAACACAGTACTATTTGGTTAAAGTCCCCCTTAAAAAAAATTGTAATGATCTTTGTCTTCCCCCATACTTTGCAGAACTGTCAAAACAAACTTTAAATAGGGAAAACTGTCAGATGCACTGCGGTGTCGCCAATCATTGGCACTTTTCCCCGCCTGCAACACGAGTGGGTATAAAAGCTTCCCTCCCTCCAACCTACAGAGGCATTGGGCTACCCCTAGCGGACAGTCTGCCCTCACAGAGGGCAGTGAAGCCAGAAAGCACCCATACGTTACAATGAAATCAGTCCCTCTTAACTTGACAATAATTCTGAAATACAAGCACTCAAATATCAAAAATTCAAGCCCTGGCTACACTAGCTGTGTGATTTTCAGTGGAGTTCTTGAACCTCTGCCTCCTCTCCTCTGTGAGAGAAGGGTCCAGGCGCCTCCTTCTTAGGGCTGCTGGGCTAGTGGGGGAAACCACTCGGGGAGAGCTGCGCACAGAGCCTGGCACTTAGGACAGCCCTCGAGCGGTCCGGCTCGGACGACCCGGACGGTGCTTTGGTTATCTAAAGCCAGGAAAAGCCTACCAGGACAGGGTGCTGGCCCTACTATCCAATGAGCAGAGAGAGCCAGCCATCTTCTCAGGTGTCTTAAGAACAAACAAGAGCAACTAGCTAGGAAGGTAACACTTTTCACTGCCCCCGACACGTCTTACCATACATAACAATTCTTTACAGTCAAACTAGACATCTACAGCATCATTCATTCCCATCTGGGGGGAAAGTAAACAACGTAGCAAGCTGTATCCACTTCACCTCAGGAAGTTTCGGTATCGTTCCAGAAAGCCCCTCTCAGGAGCGTGCAAGACCCCAGAGTGGCACAGCAGAGAGCTCCTCCGGGGCCATCGTCACTGGGACGCACTTTTCAAAACATGAATGGCTGAATTCCATTCTTGAACACAACCACAGCGTTCTCACAAATGGCCTTTCACTTTCTGACCAAACTCGAGGCAACAAGCTAAGAGGAGAACCGTCTTAAATGAGTAGACAGAAGGAATTAGAGAGAGACAGAAAACCCCTAAGCGGTGTGGGCGTATACTATAACCGTACCCTAGCTCGGACCTTAGTATACAATTTCTGTTTCAGAGATTTAGAATGCATATAAACTAGACAGAACCATGCAAACATTACATCCACATGTTTTCTACAAGGTCCTGGCAGCAGGAGTCCAAAGAACAGCATGACTGCAAGATCCCAGCACTTAAAAACAGAGCTATCTACCTACAATGTGCGGAAAGATTGGATTAGTTACAGAATATACACAGCCAAGGGCAAAACTAGCTATGAGCATTAGCTCCACCCTAAAGATTTATTTGCATACTATCGCACCAAAAATATTAACCCTAGAATAGTCTCAGAGGCTATTAAAGGCATTTTGTTTTATCTAACTTGCAAGTGGTACATCAAACAACTTTATATAGAAGTGCCTATGGCTGCTACAGTGTTTTAAAAAATGCATAAGCATATAACAGCTTTCCCTACTTGACTGGGCCAGCAAGCAAACAATTGCATAAAATATGAAAAGTTATGAAATTGTAAACCTCGACAGGCATTATGACAAGCACACTGAACAGAAACGCTACAAATACAAAGGCCCTAGCCCGCCCCATGGAAATGAATGCAGCATTAAAACATTCAACTAAAAAGCAGTACACACCTTTAATGCAATTTTGACTCTTTTAATCTTTTTGACCTTCTCAACTGTCTTTGGCCGACAATGTAAAAAGCAGATTGGAAGAATGTTAGTACGACAGCTGACAAGATCACCAGCAGATTAATAATAGTCAGAATAGTCAAGCATGATAGGGGGAGAAATCTATTTTTTTTAATTCTGCCTAATTAAAAAGTCAAATACATGTTGCTACTGAGAATACTGGCTGCTTTCAAATTACATCAAGTTAAAAGAGAAAAAAAAACAGTTTAAAAATCTGAAGATAAACCTCTATTTAACTTACAGGATTCAGGGTATTACACTGGTCTATAGGATTCTTGTAGTCGGTCTTCAGTTCATCAAACGCTATAATCTAAAATAGAATTAAAATAGTTAGGACCTGTCAGTTTACTAAAAAGCAGTAACAAAGCTGCCCCACCACCAAATAATTATCAAGTTAATAAACCAAAGCAAAACTGTACCATTACATGTACCCATGTATAAGTCAACATATGCTTTAGAAAAACAGATGGAAACATTTAAAGATCTAGCAAGTACCTTTGTATCATTAACACTAAAATGATCTGATATCCTTGTGATAAAATACCATCTTCAGTTTTCAATTTCATCAATACCCTGTTTGAATTATTTATCATACTTGAATGATATCCCCAAAGATCTCTACCCCTCGTCTGTCAGTTTGTCCCACCATGTCCCATGCATGTTGCTGTGGTGCCTGAGCTAAGCCACCAGTTTTTCAAATGCCAGTGGGGCCACTGAGGGTGGACAGGTTTCAGAGAAGCTTTTAGACCAAAGCAGACTAGGAAAGTCTTGGCAATAGAACTCCAGGGGAAAGGTCACAAAGAGCAGCGGAGGAATATGGGATACATGCGGGAGCTTCAAAAAAGTTTGTGGGCAAACTCCGTTGTCTTTGAGTTCCATTTTCCCATGAAGTGTTTGGAAGCCTCCTCAGAGTACCAGAAGATGAGCCCCTCAGGCTACAAAGCGCTCAAACCTGGACTGGGGGCGAGTATAGCTTTAGGTGCGGTGTGACCCACTCAAACGAGAACAGACAGTAGTAACAGACACATGGAATGGACAAAGTATGAATCCAGGAAAATCGGAAGTCATCAAAATGCAATGTAACACATAAAAGGTTGGCATCCTGGGGACTGGTGAGCTGAAATGAGCTGGTATTGGACATTTATATCAAGCATTACACTCGACTCTGCTGGGACGACAAGTTTCCAACATGAACGACAGACATCACACTCATCATGCATAACGTTTCAAGATCTACTATGAAATACAACACTCTATCAGTGTGCAAGTAACATTCATATGCTTATAAAGAAGACCACTTAAAAATGACGATGGTTCAAATTCAGGCACTAACCGCTATTGCCCAACCACCAGCCTTTGGGTTAAAGGCAAAAAACTCACTGCCATCGGAGTCGACGCCAACTCATAGTGACCCTATAGGACAGGGTGGAATTGCCCCCGTGAGTTTCCGACACTGTGACGGGTTGAACCACCAAGCTTTCAGCTAGCAGCCAGGCACTTTACGGTTGCGCTAACTCGACCCCTTGCTTTAAACACAGAACTTCGATGCCAAAATGTACTCACAATCCAAATACAGGCTACGCGCCACTTCGTGGTGTCAAAGCACAAAGCCAGTGGTGCGACGTTTATAGTGAAGCCATTCCGGTTGCTGCCACTGGTTACATTTTGAAAATGCCGTATTCACGTGAAAATGGAACCAGTGCAAGAAAAGACACTTCCAAAGAGCACACAGGAGCCGAGAAATACACTCGCAAGGCTTAATCTCTGTGACAGTTAGGTTTTGTGTCAATTTGGCTGGGTCAAGATTCTCTGTAGTTTGATAGTTAAAGCCTAGTAATCTCCTAGGTTACATAACACATTGTCATCAATTCTATAAAGAGACCTGCTGTGCGCATCCAATCAATTGTAAGATGAGGGTGGAACAAAGACACTTTACTCAGGGCACAGCCCTGACGCAATGGACAGGAAATTTCCTCAGAGGTGTGGCCTAGTTCCTATATAAGTGGATGTTGTGAGGAAGCTTGCATGCTTCTTGTTGGGTCTGAACCTCGCATCTGGTTCATCAAACTTGCTTTTTCCGGACTAGAGCCAATAGCCTGCCATGCTACCTGCTGACCCTAGGTAGCCACCACCTATCAAACTTGGATACATTCCACTCTGGAGCCACAACACAAGCCTGACTGCTGGCCTGCTTCATCTAACTCTGTATCCACCAGCATATGAGTTTCCTACGTCACCTTCCTGCTTTGCCAGCTCCTGGGGCTTCAAAAGCCAGAGCCTCCAGCTAACATCTAACCCATAGGCTTGATCTAGACTGGACTCACCCACTTCTACAATTTTGTGAGGTATTTACTTAATATAAATATCTCTGTATCTCCCTTGTCCTCTCTCACAGATACGGAAACTAGAGATATGTGGATATAGATGTAGATCACTGGTTTTGCTTCTCTAGAGAACCCGGCTAACACAATCCAAGAAAAAAGCCCAGAGACAAAAGGTTAACAAAAATCACACCTCCAAGTGACACCAGTCCTTACCCACTCACGCTCCCTGCCAAGGAGCCATTCCAACTCATGGCGACCTACACAGGGCTCCCAGCTTGTAAATCTCTACAGACTGCCCGCCTTTCCCGTCTGCTCACACAACGCTCTATGCAAACAGTCCTTTGGTGGCACACATCATTTCTTCCCTCTCTAATAGATCACAGGTCCCCTCCTGCCAGCTGCGGGCACTTGGTGAAATTCCATTCCAAAAGAAAAGCCACTGCACTGCTGGGAGGGGAAAAACGAGGAGCTGCTACCAAGGGCTCCAGTAGAGAGAAAATGTTTGAGAATGATGATGGCAACAAATGTACAAATGTGCTTGTCACAATGGATGGATGTATGGATTGGGCTAAGAGTTGTACGAGCCACCAATAAAATGTTTTAAAAATGCAAATCAAAAAGAAAAGAAAGCCACTGCTGTCAAGTCAATTCTGATTTCCACTGACCCTCCATAGCATTTCCAAGACTAAGTCTTCACAGGAAGACGCCGCCATCTAGTCATGCCAACTCATAGCACAGTCACCCCACGGCGCTGGGAAGACCTGCCCTGTGAGTTTCTGAGACTGGAACTCTTTTTTTTTTTAATCAATTTATTGGGGCTCATACAATTCATCACAATACATAGATCAAGAGACTGGAACTCTTTATGGGAGTAGAAAGTCCCGTCTTTCTGCCACCAAACAGACAGCCTCATCTTTTCCCGCAATAATCCCAAGAGGAGAAAAGTATGGATGGCCGCTATACGGCCCTCGGTTCATGAAACAGTTAAGGTTGGGTGGTTGATAACAAAATCAAACTCAGTGCCACCAAGTCCACTCTGACTCGCGGTGATATTGTAGGACAGGGTAGAACTGACCCCGTCCAGTAAGTTTCTGAGACAACTCTTTAAAGCCTCGACTGTCTCTCTCAGAGCAGCTGGTGATTTTGAACTGCTGGCCTCACAGTTCCTAACACTGTGCCACCAGGGTTCCTACAGGTGAATGACAGAAAAATTAAAACTATTTATTGAACTTTATTTCCCAAAGGATGAAGCAGTAACCCTTTGAACAACTATGAAATCTCTAAACATAAACACCCTCCACTAATCTGAGGCTTACATACCATTTGTCTATCAACTCTCTCACTGCCATCGAGTAGATTCCTACTGAGCGAGAGCCCGTGGGACGGCAGAACTGCCCCCAGTGGGTTTCCAAGAATGTAATTTTTCAGGAGTTAAAACCCCCATCTTTCTCCTCGGAGCAGCTGTTGGTTACGAACTGCTCACCTTTGGTTAACAGCCCAACTGGTAACCACTAAGCCACCAGGGCTCCTTAATTCTATAATAGGATTTAACAATACATGCTTTGCCCAGACAGGCTCATTTCAAAACTGAAACATTTCAAAAGGACAACTGAGACCTTCCGTCAAGCACAACCAGGGGTGGGCACAACATTCTCCTGTAAAGGCCACCCCATCATCCTGGGAAAACAATGGCACCTGTCCGGCTGACAAAGCCTTCCATGGACATCTTCAGCTGTTTAAAGCTGGTTGGGCACTGTACACTGCTGGTGCACATAACCACGATTAAGGCAGGGCTGGTTTGCCTCCCAAGTTATGTACTGTTCTTCTACTAAATGAAAACCTCAAAGAAGCGGGGCAGCCTTCTACCACTGACAAGCCTTTTGAAGCAGCAGTTCTTTCTGACAGTTAACAGCCCACAGCATTCTTGCCACCACACAGGTTCTCAACGAAGTACAAACATCAAACTCGTTAGCAGAAAAGGAATGGGTTTGTGCTACTGCTCCATTTATGAAAACCTTTTTTTTTTGCACAAGGCACTCAGCCTGTCAAAGTACTTTGCCCTCTGTGTATTCCATAAACAAACCCTAATGGAAACGGTGAAACCTGATTTAAAGTTGACATCGGAGAAATCGGCCCAATCATTCCAATTAGGAGCCACATTCCGGAACCGGGAAGTGAGAGTGAGTGCAAAAGAAGCGAGATCAATTTTTAATGACTGCTGATCTCCAAAAGACTCTCAGCGTTACTTCCAGTTTTGTGCCAGAGCCAGGAATCCTTCAAAAAAAACTCTCGCACACCTATGTCCCAGAAAACTTTACTACTTAGCCCTTGCGTCTTTCCTGCAACATAATGTAACCTGTCGCGAAGATGCCCTAGAAAACAGTAAGGTTTCTGAGCTCAATCAGACGACCCAAGAGACATTCAGAAATGGCTTGGACGGCTCTTAATAACTCTGGCGGTCAAAGTGTGATTTCGGGGAAAGCGCAGAGATGCAATAAACAATAATCCAACCTGCAGCAAAGTTCACTGGGAAGCGGGAATCCGGAAATAAGTCGTGATTCCACAGTCATCGCTCACAAGTGCAGAAAAAGTAAGACTCGAAAATGAATCTACCGTAGGTTGTAATGATCTCATTTTTAGCCTCTAATTCCTTCGGTGATCCTGGGTAAAAAAGGCCATCCGTGCGCATGAATACAAAGCCGCAAAACTTCCAGCACCCCAAGTTCGAATCCCGGCTGCGGGCCCGCGGGCCGCTGGTCTGGGCTGCGGCCGCCCCGCCCCGCCCCGCC